TATATATATAATATATACATACATAATACTGGGAATGCTGGACAGAATATCAACATCAGCTATCCGACGACCTAAAACGAATATAGTAACAAAGTTCCTTACTTCATGTCCACCGTGATCAGATGTATACTATTTTCTCAGGATAAAATAAGGTTCTCGAAACCTTCGGGAGAACACTAGCATATTGCAAAAGGAAACTAGCAGGAAAAAGTAATCGTACCAGAGAAGGCAACAGAACATGCACACCAAGGACACGTACCAGACGTTTCGACAATTTTCTCTGTTCATCAGAACTTGTTGGAGAGCGACTTAGCTTGTGATCAGGTAGGTCCGGTGGATCACTGTGCACAATAGGTGCCTGTAGTGTAGCACGACTCGACGGGGTTACAGTTTTAGAATCACTCTGTGAAGATCGTCCAGGTGCGGACTGCCCAAATGGGAGAGGGACGTTCGGACGCAAGCTGGTGCCCACTGACCTCTGAAAAGGCTGGTTGATTAGACATGCGTTTGCTGATAACGTGGATACCGCAAATTCCGATTTGAGCAGCGGTGTGCGTTCTTGATTCAGATAGGTTGGCTACGAGAAAAGAGATAAGGAGCTATTGGGATGAAGACGACATCAACAGCGGCGAAAAAATATGTTCCCTTTATATTTGATCTCATTCTAAGCCAACGAGTTTCGCTCAGGAGGATTTGTCAAATTTGTCAAAGGCATTATAATGTCTAGATAACCACTTGGCAAAAACCCTGTCCACATACATGTCACATGCCCAAGTTGAGCCGAAATGCCCAACATTTACACATCGGAAGTGAGCAGTCTCGTAACAACATAAGACAAGCTGCGTAGTTACAGATCTTCGGAAGTGACATTGCCGGGCGAGCTCCATAAGGACGGCGGTGAGAAGGCGCACTGAACCAAGAGCAGGACGGGCACTGAGGTATACGTAAAACATAACAAACCAAACGACATTCGGACCTCTTATCTCCAACAGCTAACCACGGGACAAATTAAATATTGAACGTCACTAACCTCAAAGAGTTCAGAAGACTTCGTCGGACATTCGTCAACTGTAGCCGCTCCTGTACCAGAATTCACACCGCTTTCGGTTTGTGGGTTCCAACTCTGAAAAACAAGTTTACTCTCCATTGAACGTGCTTCCATTTCCTCAGGTTGTGATGCATCCGAAAATTCCGCATTGGATAACGGCATGTGTTCCAACAAATTATCTTGAGTAAACGTAGTGCCATTCTGGGAAGCCATCTTGCGCAACATACGAGGAGGCAGATTACTGGCCAAAGGCAGTGTTGTTCTAGAGAAGCTTGACTGTCTACGGGCTCCCGTAGCCATTCCACGTGTCCAGCCATTGTCCGAACCGTCTGTCCCACGTTCTCGTCTGGAACTCCATGAGTCCGGACCACCGAATTTGGAACTGACGGAGTATCCATTGTTGTGATTGTTGTTGTTTGCGCTCATACCACTGCCAGATTTCGTGTAAACCAATCGCTTATTTGCAACCGAAAAGCCACCTTCCTGACGACTTGATATCGAACTTCGGCCACTACCTAAAATTCCCACATCAGCAGGACTATTGCGACAAAGTTCTTCACCCAGTCGTGCTAACTCTAACCAATTTCTTGCTTCCACGCCGCTTGAGTCTCCAACACTCGGACAGAATGGAACCATCCTACTTTTGGAACCAGAAAAGAACGGCACATTAAAAGGGGCCAATGCGTTCGATGTGGCCGACAAATGGTTTGCATATTCACTTCCGGGCACATCCCTTGATGAAACTGAGCGTTCGGCGGGAGTTGGCGCCACCAAAGTTCCTGAATCCTGAAAAGCCACGTAAAACACTAATTAACACCAGACAGTTCGTTGCGATGAGGAATTA